AGAGATTCTGGCTCAAAAAAGGTATTAAGTCTCTGATGTGTAATAAGCAAAATATGAAATAAGTAATACCTTTATTATAAATTCTTTGTACTAACATTGTCACTGACTATAAAACAGATAAAATAATATAAGTTGCAATTCTCTATAAATTGTTTCCAGTGATTATATCTCCTATGAGTGTCCCTAAAAGTCCAAATTTCAATAGTAATCAAAGACGGCCTGTCTGAGATCTCCGCTTCCTTCTTACATACCTATTCTTTAGAGACCACTCTAAATTTTCTATCAGAATTGATATGAATATCCGCAAGTTATCCTTTGCCTTTATCCCAACAGGTACATTGTCCTGCAAACAAACTTTCTTTGTAGAAAATTCTCTTGTAATGCAGTTTTCTTGACCTTGATCTTTCTTTGTTTGCGATGCTCTTCTTTTAGCGGCACTAGAAAGGTTTTCCTTTATCCCACTCGTCTTTGTGGGAGATTCTGTAGCACCAGAAAACTTTTCTTGCAGCGAACCTTCTCTTCTGGGCATTTCTCTTGTCAAACAGTTTTCCTGAATCTGATCTTTCTGTAAAGGAGATCCTCTTGCTGGAAGAATTTCTTGAGGGTGATCTTTCTGCATGGGAGATTTTCTAGCAGGAAGATGATTTTCTTGAAATGGATTTTTCTGTAAGTGGAATTCTTCATCAGGAAGATATTCTTGATCATAATCTTTCTGTATGGGAGATTCTCTAGCAGGAAGATCTTCCTGAACATAACCTCTTTGTAGGTGAGATTCTTCATCAGATAGATATTCTTGATCATAATCTTTCTGTATGGGAGATTCTCTTGCAGGAAGATCTTCCTGAACATAACCTCTCTGTAGGTGATATTCTTCATCAGGAAGATTTTCTTGAACATGGTCTCTCTGTATGGAAGATTCTCTAGCAGGAAGATCCTCCTGAACATAATCATCCTGTAGGTGAAATTCTTCAGTTCGAAGCTTTTCTTGAAACTGATTTTCTGCAGGAGGATGCTCTTCTTGATTATCTTTCTGTATGGGAGATTTTTCAGCATGAAGATTTTCTTGGTTATGAACTTTCTGTGTGGGAGATTTTCCAGTAGGATGGTTTTCTTGAGACTGACCTCCCTGTATGGAAGATTCTCTTGCAAGAAAGTTTTCTTCGAGTTGACTTTCCTTTGTGGGTGATTCACTAATAAGATGAGGCCAACTCTCCATTGTGGGAGATTTTTTGACAAAAGAAAGCTCTTCTTGTAACCTGCCTCCCTCTACTGAATATGCTCTTGTAACAGAAGCTTCCTGAGCCCAATCTTCCTCAATAGGAAGTTCACCAACAGCAGGTAAATTATGCTGCAGCCAGTCTTCCTGAGTATAAAATTCAACATCCTCATGAGCTTCTATATCCCAACTTCCCTCTGTGGGAAATTCACTAATAAGGGGATATTTTTCCTGCAGCCACCCTTCCTTTGAAAGGTATTCAATTGCTTCTTGAGCTTCTTGAGCCCAATCTTCATCTGTGAGACATTCTTTAAATTCTCTTTGAGATTTACCCTCCCTTAGAGGAGATTCACTTGCAACAGCCAAGCCTGCTTTTTGCCGGGATGAGGACCTTGTCACCATGTGATGCCTAACTACTGGAAGATGCTGCTGCCTGCCTGCATGAGAACGATTATACTGCCTAATTGCATGTGGACGATGCTGCTGCCTTTGATTAGATTTTCTTCTGTTTCTACCATTCTTTTTATATTCTCGTATCAAAGACAATATGGTTGACTTATCTATGTGTTCTGTATTTTGTTCATTTCCATGATTCTTAATATGATGATCTAGCTGGGACCTCCAAATGAAATTCATATTGCACAAAGTACAATGGAATGGCTCCTCACCTTGGTGGATTCTTACATGTATTCTGAGAATGCACTTTGCCTTGAAACTTTTATCACAGTATGTACATTTAAACTGCTTCCTACCAGAATTTCTTTTCATATGCCTTAACATGTCCAATTTCACAGAGAATTTCTTTTCACAGTATAAACACACAAAACCCTTTTCATCTGTGTGAATTTTCTCATGTTGTTTTAATTCTGACAATGTGGTGAACTTTATCTTGCACTGTGAACAAATGAAAGATTTGTCACTAGCATGCATCTTCACATGCTGTATAAAGTCATTTTCTAAAGTAAATCTTAATTCACACTGTGTACACTGATAAGATTCTACCTTAGCATGTGACTTTTCATGTTCTATCAAGTCATCCTCCTTGCTGAACCTGTACCTACAGTGTGCACACTGGAAAACTTTTACCACAACATGTGTCTTTTCATGCTGCATCAAGTCATCCTTTAAATTGAACCTGCACTCACACTGTACACACTGGAAAGCTTTTATCTTAGCATGTGTTTTTTCATGTTGTATTAAATCATTCTCCAAACTAAACTTGCACTTACACTGTGCACAATAGAAAGGTTTGTTACAAGTATGTGTCTTCTTATGTAGTTTCAATTCATTCTTTGATGTAAATTTTTTCTTACACTGTGAACACCTAAACAGTCTTTTATCTATCTCTTTTCTTGGATGTAAACTGCAGTTTTTAGGGCAGTGGCAATCATGAGCAGGACACAATGCTTGTAATGAATCTTTTGGGGGATTTTCAGTAACTTGAGGAAGATCCACTTGGTCTGTTACTTCTACTTCTTCCCTCTGTGAGCTCTTCCAGTGTCTTCTTAAAAGAGAAGTATGGGCTACCTTCCCTTTGCACTGTGTGTGCTCTTCTTCTGAAGGAAATATAAAATCACACTGTGAACACCAGAAACCTTTATCCTTATGTGTTTTTTTATGTTGCACAAAGTCATTCTCTGAACTAAATTTGTGGCTACACTGTGAACACTGGAAAGCTATATCTTTGGTATGTGTCTTTTCATGTAGGATTAAGTCGTTCTTAACTCTGAATCTCTCCTCACAATGAGAACATCCAAGGAGAATTTCACACATCTCTGCACTGGCATGTAAATTGCAGTTCTCGGGACAGTGACAATCCTTAGCTTGACATTCATCTTGTTTATCTGGGAGAGGAAGGGACTCTTCTCCCATCAATGAATCTACTGCTGGGGAGTTTTCCCCTATTTGTGGAAGACATTTCAGGTCTGTTATTTCTTCATTAATTTCTTCCAGTGGCATGTGGCAATTCATAGTAGGACAAATTGGGGGATTTTCAGTAACTTGAGGAAGATCCACTTGGTCTGTTACCTCTACTTCTTCCCTCTGTGAGCTCTTCCTGTGTCTTCTTAAAACAGAAGTAAGGGATACCTTCCCTTTGCACTGTGTGTGCTCTTCTTCTGAAGGAAATATACAATCACACTGTGAACAGAAATCTTTATCCTTGTGTGTTTTTTTATGTTGCACAAAGTCATTCTCTGAAACAAATTTGTGGTCACACTGTGAACACTGGAAAGCTATATCTTTGGTATGTGTCTTTTCATGTAGGATTAAGTCATTCTTAACTCTGAATTTCTCCTCACAATGAGAACATCCAAGGAGAATTTCATGCATCTCTGCACTGGCATGTAAACTACAGTTCTCGGGACAGTGACAGTCCTTAGCTTGATATTCATCTTGTTTACCTGGGAGAGGAAGGGACTCTTCTCCCATCAATGAATCTACTGCTGGGGAGTTTTCCCCTATTTGTGGAAGACATTTCAGGTCTGTTATTTCTTCATTAATTTCTTCCAGTGGCATGTGGCAATCCATAGTAGGACAAATTGGGGGATTTTCAGTAACTTGAGGAAGATCCACTTGGTCTGTTACCTCTACTTCTTCCCTCTGTGAGCTCTTCCGGTGTCTTCTTAAAAGAGAAGCAAGGGATACCTTCCCTTTGCACTGTGTGTGCTCTTCTTCTGAAGGAAATATACAATCACACTGTGAACACCGGAAACCTTTATGCTTATGTGTTTCTGCATGTTGCACCAAGTCATTCTCTGAACCAAATTTGTGGTCACACTGTGAACACTGGAAAGCTGTATCTTTGGTATGTGTCTTTTCATGTAGGACTAAGTCATTCTCAACTCTAAATTTTTCTTCACAATGAGAACATTTAAATATAATTTCACGTGCCTCTATGCTAGCATGTAAACTACAGTTCTCAGGACAGTGCCAATCCCTAGCAAGACATATATCTTGTACTACTGGGGGAGGAGGAGACTCTTCATTCTTCAATGAATCTACTGCTGGGGAATTTTCCCCTCTTAGTGGAAGACATTTCAGGTCAGCTCTTTCTTTGCTCATCTCTTCCTGTGGCCTGCTCTTTCGAATCCTCCTCAAAAGAGTTGTAAGTGATGATTTTGTTTCCTGTTTTTTTGTGTGAATTAAAGTATCCAGGTTAAGCTTCTTATCACAGCCTTTATTTCTCACATGTTCTCTAAGAATGCACTTTGCTTCAAATACTTTATCACAATGAGGACATTTATAGTTTTTTTCTGCAGTATACAATGATATATGTTGTTTGAGAGTTTTTTCTGTGGCAAATTCCCCATTACAATAACGACAAACAAATACCTTCTTCTCGGTATGAACATTCTGGTGTGTTTTCAACATTACCCTAGAGATGCACTTTTTTCCACATTGTGAACACTGGAAACCTTTCTTACCAGAGTGTATACTTTCATGCTTTCTTAAACCGGATTTTGATTTAAAATATTTTTTACACTCCATGCATCCATATAGTTTTCCCCCTATATGTGTCTCTGAATTTGAACTTGTACCATTTTGATAATGACCATCTGCTGTGGGAGATTCCCCTCTTTGTACCTCAAGTGAACGTAATGACCTGTCCTCCTTCAGGGCACCTCCATTTAGAAGACAAAACCTCTGCTCATCTATGTTGTCATTACAGGCTTCCTCCTCTCCAGAGTCTTTCACAATAGTCGGACTGGCAGGCTCCTCTTCACACTTCAGATGGTCATTACTTGCATGAATTTCTACATGCTTTCTTAGCAGAGATTTAGCTGTGAACTCTGCATTACACTGCTGACAGCTAAATACTTTACAAGTTATGTGAATTTCTGCATGTTCTTTGAGAGCACAGTCTGCTTCAAAATTTTCACTGCAATAAGAACAACTGATATGCTTTTCTTGAGTATTAATTCTTATATGTCGATCTAGGTTGGCTTTACTCTGGAATTTGTAATTACAGTATGGGCAAACAAAATGCCTCTCGGAGTGAACTTTCAACTTATGGAATTTTAACTCATATCTGGTTATGAATCTCTTTTCACAGTGTGGACATTCAAAAGGTTTGTCATTGGTATGTATCCTTCTCTCATGCTGTACCATGTTTCCCTTCGAACTGAAAGTGTTTTCACAATAAGAACACTGAAAAGGCTTTGCATCTGCCTCTGTCCTTGAACTAGAGTTCTCTTTAGGATGCTCATCTTTTGTGAGAGAACCTTCCAAAGCAGGCTGGGAAGAAGAGGATGTTTCATGCTCCTGTGTAACCTTGGGAGGCTTTTTCTCTTCTTCATAAAGTTTAGATAACAATTGATCTGAAACATTTGCACATTGTAATTTCTCTTGAAAGATTTCTGTACATTCTGCTTTTTTTTCAGCTGTGGGAATGATAATGTTTTGCTGAGTCCTGGTGTGAATTCGTTCGTGGGTTCTGCAGTTTGATCTACAACTGAATTTCATTTGACAGTATGTGCACTGAAATGGTTTTTCACCCGTATGGATTGCTATATGTCTTTTTAAGTCAGACTTTGTTAAAAATTTCTTAGGGCATAATGAACATTCAATCTTTTTCTTGTCATCATGACATCTCTTATGACGACTTAAGGCAGAACTGCTCATAAATTTCTTTTCACACTGTGGGCAGCTATATTTCCTTTCATTTAAATGACTTCTCTCATGTTCCTGTAAAGCAAATTTATTACTGTATATCTTCTCACAATAGGAACACAGATATTCACTTGTATGTCTTCTTTCATGTGTTGTCAACTGATGTCTTAAAAAAAAGCTTTTCTCGCAATATGAGCACTGAAAAGGTCTTTCACCTTTGTGTGTCTTCAAGTGGTCACTGAGCTTTCCCGTACTAATGAATTTTCTGTCACAAAGTGAACATTCAAATGGCTTTTCAGCTGTGTGGATTCTTTCATGTAGCTGCAAGTTCCGCTTTGAAGTTAGTATCTTGCTGCAGTGTGTACACTCAAACGACTTCTTGCTACCCATTTTGCATCACTGAAATGAACAAAAAGAATCTTTTGTAATACACAGAGGGAGGAAGAGAGAGAGAGAGAGAGAGAGAGAGAGAGAGAGAG